ATGTGAAAGAATGCAATGTCATTTTGTAGCTTTCCATGATGTTCTCTTTGCGTCTGTGTTTTGTTGCTATGAATATGATATTATGGTCCCGAGAATTAGGATATCGTCACCTGTATGTACATCAGGGAACTTTAGGAGTTCCTTTATTAATTCATTTAGGAGTTCCTTTGTTCTAGTGGCCTATTTTGATGACCCAGAAACGTTATGAAAGAGGCAACTCTTGCCGACTTTGAAACTCAAACTGCTTGCTTTTTTATTTTGTCCAATTCCTCATATATATTGAAAGATCCTTTCCTCAAAACAAAGGGTAGGCCCTGATCGATGCTACCTCTTGAATAATTATAATTTCTATATGGTAGAACCCTCCAAATTGAGCTTAATCTTATAACTTTTGCTGAAATAAGAACATAGAAGTATATGTCCTTGATGAAATATGAACCGAGTTGTATCAGTGCTTAGCCAGGGCAAACAACTTATCGACCAAGTCAAGATATTCTGTTCACTGTTGTTCATCTTCAATAAATGGATTCTTCCAGTAGTACCACTGGATCAAGGCTTATGTGTCGTGGACTATATGGTCTAGGAGTTTGTCTCAGGAACAGAACCCTCATCCAAATGAAGATATACAGTACAGGTCTTTACGTTTGATGAAGAACTCTTCCCTCTGGCCCTTAAACGAGCCCTTGATTTGCCGTGTTTGTCTCTGTTTAGCTTAGTTTCATGTCTCTTATTGCGACATTTTAGAAAAGGGTTTGACTGTCATTAAGTGCGTAATCGTATGGTTGAATACTTTCGTAACTTTATATCAGAAGAAGATTTAATAACTTCTTTGGTATGATTTGCAGGGATCTTCCTCGGGCAGAGAGGGAGAAGTATGGGATTAGAGACAACTTGGTGAGGTTCAGCTTTGGAGTCGAGGACTTTGACGATCTCAAGGATGACGTACTTCAAGCCCTGGAAGCCATATGATCGCGATGACAAGGTTCTTCATCCAGAATGACTTTAACTGTGTTGAAGTTGTTAGCAATATCTGAGAGGGCTTCACAGTACTTTCCTATACCTCTTCTGCTGTGTTCATTTCCCGCGCCCTTGTTGCCATTTATGGATCCATGTTTCATAATCCTCTAATTGTCGCATTTTGTTTCTTCTGCCGTTGGTAGTTGCTTGATGGAAATAAACTGTCATTTCCGTGAAACCTGTGAACACTTTCTCCATCTGGGAATCTGGCTTTTTCCTGCATCTACTCTCTGCATCCTTCCAACAGATTTTTTATTGGTAATTAGGTTGCCTTGGCTTTTTAGTCGCTGAATCCAATTTCATTTATTCAACTTTTTGTGGACAATCAAAACAAACATTGTTTATTTAACTTTTTGTGGAGCTCGCTCTACTAAGGATCATAGTTCGAGCTGAATGAGAAACCACAGGCCACAAACAAGAGTTATTGTGTAGTTTGAGAAGCCAGCCTGGGAGAAGAGTTGGGACCACTGTGGTTCAGTTCTTATGCTACCTTCCAAACAAGCCATCATCACCATGTCGGTGAACAACAGCGTTCCCTCGGAGACCTGATCGTCGCAGCTTTCGTGGCCAAGAACATGATCTGCTATCATCACCTTCCCTGCACCACCACCACCAACACGATTGCTCACCGCTTTCTTGCATTGCTTCAATAGCTCCACGCAGGCTTCGTCCTCCAACTCAATCAGCACCCTCTGCAAGCGATCGATCGAGCCAGGTTTGATGAACCAAACATTCACAAAACAACCAACATTCACGCAATAATGATGTGTTAAGTACTATACCATCAAGAGCACGGCATCTGCTGGCGGGATCTCCTTAAACATGTCCCCGCCAACATACCGAAGGTTGGGCTGGGCAGCAGCTTCCAACCCAGCAACCGCATGAGGAAGATCAAACACTGTGATGTCGATGTCGGGAAAGGCAGCAGCGAGGACCTGACCCGTGGTTCCAGTACCACTGTTGCGCCCTACGTCCACAAGCGACTTCAGCCCCTCGAACACACCTGACGTCGGTCCACACTTGGCCACCAAAGACGCGGCGAACAGCGAGCTGTCACGCGCTAACCCGTCGTGGTAAAGCCGGCTCAACCAAGGGTCGCCAGCCGCGACTTCATACAGTTTCCTGCCACCATTAGCAAACGCGAAGGGAGCCTGTTGTTGCTCGTGGTTGGTCCGAAACCAAGTGCTCATATGGCACCAAGGTTCGAGCATGATGGGATGGGAACCTAGGAGGAGCATTGACCTTCCGCCGAAGGGGTTGTCCTTGAGCAGGAAGCGAGACAGTGGCGTCAACCAGTAGCTGTCGTTGTGTTCGACGAAATAGCCTAGATGGACGAGGACTCGCATGAGGCGGGACATGAATGGAGCTTTGGCGGGGGAGATTTGGAGAGCGGAAATAAGCTGGTGGAGGGTCATGGGACGGCAGTGGTTGTGGATGACGTCGGGGATCTCCAGCTGAACTGCGCACTGAACCGTCATGGTGCTGATGTAGCCATTGGTGTGTGCCCACACGGTGGGCTGATGCTCCGCAAGCTCCAGCGCGCTGCTTCCTGCTGCCGCTTGCATTTCCGGTAGCTCCTCACTTAGCTTGGAGTCGTTGCTTGTTGTACCTGCTAGTTGATTTAGCTTTTGATAAAGCATCGAGTTGTTTGTTTGTTTGTCAGGAAAAGAGAGTGATTTTGCCCAGCTGGTGAACTAACTAACTTATTACTATAGCTGTTGATATGAGCTGATTGGCTGATAGCGTGTAGGTCACGAAATCTTCATTGTTGTTGTTGCTTAGTGGATGTGTGTGGTGGCGGCCTTTTGTAGTTGCTCAGAATTCATAAACTTCAGTATGAGTGGAATCTATAGCAAATAAGAAATAACAATAACAGATTACTTAAAATTTGGTGAATTTCATATACGATCAATTATTATACTTGTTTACGTTCCTACTAAATCGAAGTATGGAAACCAGTTAGAAAGTCGGTGGGGCGGTGAGGGAGAGATGAGGGGCTCAAGATAGTGTGCATAACCACGGGTTATGCACCTATCAATAACCAAATCTGGACCCTTCATTTAGAAAATCCAGATCTAAGGATGTAGAATTAAAGACTATTTTTATTTTCACTAGCTTTCTTAATTGACTCATATCTTTTTCGTTTTAACTCGGATTTTAATTTTTTTTTTCACAGATGGAACGAGTTCACCGTGCTCTACAAAATGAGATCAATTTTCAATATTTTTTTAGGAAAAAAAAATTCTGGCCTCTCGGTACCAACTGCATACCATATAGTATCTTCTTCGTTTTTAATTCGTTTTTGAAAACGTTTGCACAGCAGGGATGAGTTCATCATGATCTACTGGATCTACAAATTTATGGGTGAACAAATTACAGGACCAAAAAATACCACACAATACCACACAATACCACCCTGGTACGGGGTGGTATTGTATGGTATCTTCTTCGTTTTTAATTCGTTTTTGAAAACGTTTGCACAAAAGGGACGAGTTCATCATGATCTATTGGATCTATAAATTTCTGGGTGAACAAATTATAGGACCAAAAAATACCATACAATACCACCCTGGTACGGGGTGGTATTGTGTGGTATACAATGTTAAAAGTCGTAAATTACAATTAATATACTTCTATTATCATCTATTCAACCATCCTACAGTATTGGTTTGTTCATACCACCATGGTACGTTTTTCAAAACATAGGTATGCTTTTATTTCAATACCAGTCAATATCATATGGTATAGGCTGGTAAAAAATGGCTCAATTTTTTTTTGTTCGGAAAATATATTAAAGTGGATATCATTTTGAAGAGCACAATTAATATGATCTAACTGTGCAAAAAAAATTAAATTTCGACTTAAAATGAGCGAGAAATCGTCCGTCAAAGATTAAAAAGGGAAAAATTAAAGGCTTTCCATGAGAGAGAGGATTCTGATGTCATGCTGATGTGGACGGGTTACTCATGGTTACTCACCATAAGGTTACTGACCTGATCCATTCCCGAGATGAGGTGATAGTGGAGGCGAGGAAGAAAAAATTGAGATGGAAAATAAACCAAAAAAAACATACGTTTGTTATTTAAAAAATTATAATTTGTTGTTGTCTGCGAGGTTAGATGAAAATAAACAGAATTGGATAACCAATGACCAATGTAAAAAATATTTAAAATTAACGACTAGTAAGAAATAAATATTTTCTGAATAACAACAAAAATAATTAACTGAGTGTTCAAATATATAGTTTAGTCGAGGGCAAAAAAAATTTACGGTATCAAAGGGTAACAAATAGTCCATGAAATCGTACCGTACCAACTGTTCAACCATGAAATAACAGTATCGGAGGCTAAACAGGTAGGCGGTATTTAACGATACTAACGGTTGAACTACGGTTAAACCATAATTTTATCATAAAATACCATACCACTGACTCTTCCGATACGATCTCTGGTACGGTTTTAACAAATGTGGAATGCGAGGTCCTTTTTGCATGATCCATGAAACCGTACCGGGTATCGTACCGGAAAAGTCAGCGGTATGATATTTTATGATAAAATCGTGGTTTAACCGTAGTTGAACCGTTAGACCGTTAAATACCGCCTACCAATTTAGCCTCCGATACTGGTATTTCGTGGTTGAACCGTCAGTACGGTACGGTTTCATGGACCATGCCTTTTTGCGGCTCCCCACAGGTTAAGAAATCCGCAATCCTGTAGGTTCGTGGGCTTCCTGACCCAATCTGGGTTTAGTCCCAAAAGCCCAATACAATGAATCTCGCCGAAGAATTGAATACTACCGAGGCCTGAGAGCAGCCTGAGCAGTGAGAGAGGGTACGAGTAGCATTTGCATGGGGCAGCGTAGCCGCCTGTTTCAGGGTTGTTTCCCACTTTACCACCAAACCACAAAGAAGCAGCGGGCGCGCCCGACCCGACAAACAACCCCTGCCCCCAAAAGCAGAGAGCAGAGCAAACCCATGGGTTCGGATGAGAGCTTCCCCTTGTTTCAACTGCCAACCACCATTTCCCTCCCTCCACGCTTATATAAAGGAGAAGCCAGCCCTCTCTAATTCCATCATCATCTTCGCTCACTACTACTCTTCATTGAAGACCAGTCTTCTGTTTTCTCGAGAAAAAGAAGGAAGGAAAGACAGAGAGATTCAGTTAGCAGCAGAGTATTTTTTTATTCAATCAGGATCCATGGAAGGAGTTCAGGCATGGGTTTCCAAGCACAAGCTCGGCACAATTGGTAAACTACTCGTATAGCAATCATCGTTATCTATCCACTTCAGTTGGGTGAAATGGTCAAAAACTGTCCTGTGGATATGCAGGAGGAATATGGGCAGCAGCAGTTGGAGGGTCATTCGCTGTCAACAATCGGTCGTCTACTCCGGCTCTGAAGCCCAGTCTTAGGCTCATCCACGCTAGGTGAGCTAGCTAGCTAGCTTGGTCCATCCATCCTTGTCGATTCATGCATTTTAATTACCATCCCTTGATTGAGTAATTAATTACTTGAAAGTGGTGAATTCATGAATAATTACTACTTACTGCTGCAGGATGCACGCACAGGCCGTAACATTGGCAGTGCTTTCTGGAGCAGCAATCTACCATCACTTTCATGATCAAAATTAGGAAGCCACCGTCGATTCATTGGCGGGTTAAACTGGATGATGACGACAATTGGATAGGAGGGCTTAGAGTTATAGAATCTTTGCTCTTCTGTATTTCTTTCCAGCACTGCTCACGCTATGTTCTTGTGTGACGGTACACCTTCTTTCAATAACAACAATGGAGCCTAATGTTTCTTTCTTCCACGACCTTGTCACTTTGTCTCCATTTCAATATGTTCATATCAAACATAGTTATCAAATGGAGGAAGCAAACTTATAATCCCTACTTGAGATGTCAAAATTTCCACTGGTTTTTTCTCATTAGAGATATGAACTGGTTTATATGGTACATGATCATTTGCTGCGTAAGTATTAGGACAAATGTACAGCTACCTATAGAGTACACATCCTCAACAATTAAGATGATCAGAAGATAAACTTTACAAGCAAAAAGAGTGATAACTAATCCCCATCCCATCTATCACTCAAATCAATTCGGCTAAGGGGCAGAATCCCCTCTGCCTCTGCACCCACCAAACCTCACTTCACCATGTGCGTTCGGAGGCCAAAGGGGCAGGCTTTCAATTGCACTCAAAACTGCATGTAAATATGCCAATAAAGAGTTTATGGACGGTGGTTAAACCATATGTAACAGTAACTTCGGGACTATGTGCAGCTAGCTAGCTTCCTGCAATGCTGCATAATACACGGGGAAAGCTATATAACAAACCCTAGAGAAGCTTCTTCCTCTCAAAGTAATTCCTGAGATGCCACGACTGCAAACCGGCCACAGATACACAGACCACGAGAGATAAGAAACCCATGATAGCCATTTCCGAGTTGGTCGACAGGTTCAGTTCTTGCATTTCCTCTTCTCTATCGCGGAGGTAGTACATTTCTGCATGAACATTTCTTACTGTAACCGACAGCTTCCTCAACTCAATCTCCATAGCCTACCACACCAAGAAAAAACACCAAAACAGAGGTCATTCATTCATTCATTCATCCATCATCCGTTAATTAACAAAGCAGCAGCAACAACAATGCAATCATGTCCAAATTCGGGCCACATATATGAATTGAGGTAGAGTAATGATTACTTCAATGTTGCCTTTCTTGGCGACATTAGACCAATCTCTAGCTTCAACGCCGGATCTCCAATCGAATTCAACGATGGTGGTGAGTGGCGGTTTGTGCAGAGGTGAACAAAAGCATGCAGAGTAGGGTCCATTTTCTGATGCTGTGAAAGCAAATGTACCCTTCTCCACCTTATCTCCGTAATGGTAACTTACCCCATGGGGTGATGTCACCTGCAACCCAAAAAACAGCACATATAAACGTTCATACTTGACCCTCTCTTAAAAATTTGCAGTTCTCAAAACCAAAGCAGTTCTCCACATGGTATCAAACAATGTTTATGAATATCATGCATTAATAACGTAGATATACAAACACAAAATGTATATCATGCATAGGGAAGAAGATAAAAGAAAAGTTACCCTGACAGTGACGTTAGGATCACCTTTGATAGGGTCAACAATGCTGTAAGATCCCACGGACATGGTGTCGGCCTTGACGTCCTCGGATATGCATTTGGTCTCCCCTGAGTGCATGTCGAACCGCATTGATTCTGCCATCTTTGAACCCGATTCGAATATTAACATGATTACGATAAACCAACAACTCCATCTCCACATCGTTATGTATGCCACCATTCCAGAGAGATATATATCTTCGAACAGAGAATATAGTAATTCAAAAGACGCTTTCTAACCAGGATTCCCCTGTTTCAGGATTTTTTTTAACACAAGAACTAGGAGATGTTTGTCGGGTGGTGGGTTGCCTGAAAGGTAGAGAGAGTCCGGATCATAAGAAAGGGAAAAATGAATTATTGAGATTAACCAATCGTTTTGTCCTCCCTGTGACATTTCAGGGTCTTCCAATTTAGCAGGTTTAGAAAGAGATCTCCTGGATTTCAACTCCTAATTTTTCCAGCATTAAAACAATTTTCCCTTCTCAAAATAATTGATAACCCCAGAAAATTTCCTCTACTCTTCGCAATTTTGGTAAAAAAGGAAAAACAAGATTTTTTTTTTAATTACACATTTTTTCTTGGTCGAAATCACATTTGACCTGAGTATATCGGGAACCATTCAAAGATCTTGTAACAGGAGAAATGATTCAGCACTCCTAGAAGTGAATAAGTGATTCCATTGAGTCTCTTGATAAGTTTGTCAATACAATGCACATTTGTACTCAAATGAGTTGATATTTAATATCAATGACATTACGATACCTTAGTCAAGGTCAATAAAGTAGATTGAAATCAGACAAGTATTACATGTTCCACTGTTCGTGCTCAATTGTGATATTTGAGATGCAGAGACTCCCATGTATTGCTAATTACAACAATATAGGTGGTCGAATACTAAACCTCTCTTTATCGTACTGTCAAGTGTTTGTTGATGTCATCCAGAATCCAAATAAGGTTGGATCCTGGAAAGTGAGAGCATGAATTCAATGAACGAGATAGATTCTCCAATCGAATGGGTTAAATCGATTATATTCCAAGTTTGGCTAACAAGAGAGCAACTTGGGTTGCTAAGAAATGACAAATGGATCTCTCTCTCAATATTGGATCATAGTGCTTAATATTGTCCATCCACCGTTGTAATTTTGTTAGGTTTGTACTCCACTCCTTGAAATGAATGGAATTCATTTGTTGTAAGAAAAAGTGATGCTAGAGGCCACTTCGTATTAATGATATTTTGGGTCCGTTCAAGGACATTCGATAAAATTGGAACGATACAGAGAAGATATTAATGACCTTTGGGCAACGTGATAAAATATAGTGGGCCCACTAAGAAACTTTGTTTGAGAAATGTACAAATGCTAGAGGCCACTTGATGTTCAATTTAGGAATCCTTGTTTGATTATGATTCCTAATATTCTACAAGTTATAATTTAAAGTAAAATTTGTCCTTAGCAAGGAACCCTAACCTGATTTAATAGGATTAGTATTCAATGTGATTAGAATTTCAATAGGCATACTGATAAGACATAGTTTTATAGTTGGACTAGCAAAACTTAATTTCATTGAAATCCTAGTGTGATTAGGAAACCCAGTTGGATTAGATTAAAATATAGGAAAGGAGTGAAAAGGTACTTGTAGGAGAGAATGATAAAGTTTGGAGTATTTAATGCAAACTGTACCCTATAGCTAGGTTATGGTTTAGGTAGTCTATAATTCTCTATCACTCAAAACTATCCTCTTGGGGAATTCATATACAAGAAATGAGTTTTACACATTGTACGAGATATGAGTCGCCATATAGATTATTAAGGAAGTCTTATACACATTCCTTGTAAATATAGAGCCCTAGACTTGAGGTTACCAAAAGGAACCGTAATTACTAACTGTGCATTTTGATACTTTGCTTCGTCGCTTTCGCCTAGGTGAATGATGACGAGGTGAACAAAATCATGAATTAATACACATATCAATCTCATTTTCTTATGATAAACTACTCTAACCTCCCCCAAGCAAGTGGTTGCAATGGTTCCCCAGAAAAAGGAAAGGAAAATGAAAGCCAAAGGAAGGGGAAAATGGAAGAAGAAGAAAACAATGCAGCTCATAGAAATAGATAATTGGCAGTTGGCACCATATATTAATTCAAAAACTAAAGTCGACTATTTTCTTACTTTGTTTTCCCACTCTAAAGTTCAACTCTCTTCTACTACTACACAGAAGTAGTAGCTTGTTGCTAGCTTGTACCACTACTACTCACATCCCATTGGAGAAAAATGGTGTGGCAGAAAAAGAAGAAAAAAAAAATAGCAAAATCAATTACTTGGGTAAGTTTGACTAAGGAACGAATCCTTATCTTAAAAGGATTATAAGGAAGGCAATGCTTCCTCTCATGCTCCATATTTTTTCTTCATAGTTATACAAAATTTCCTTCTTTTACTATTTCATTTTTTCCTTTGTCCCGGGAAACCAATATTTCAGAGTTGATAATCAAACCAGGCCCAGATACACAAATGGAGCTTCCTCCTACAAATGGGGGACTAACAAGCTCTTGCTTCAACCCCAAGCAAAAGCTGAGCATTCTTTTTGGCTTCCAGGTGTCCCAAGTCATTGAAGTTTCTGAAATTTCCATCTGGGTCCCTTTCCTTTGCATCACATTTCTGCAAAATCCACCATTTTCATTTACTCTGCGACCTTATATGTTCATCTATACCATGACTCTGTATGTATACCATTCGACTATTTACCTCTATCCAACCTTGACCTTCGAGCTGCTCTGCGTATTTGATTCTCGTTCTTCCGTAACAGCTCCCCAATCTGGTTCGACTGTGCGACTTTGTTTGATTGAGACAACAATGGTCCCGAGAACTGTACCGTGTCCGATTGATGAACGGGATCATGCTACATCAGTCAAGAACATATAACAAAGTCATTTCTAACTTCAACATCACATAACCATAATGTGTTCCACATCAGTGTTAGAGAATCAAGCTCGCTTAACGTACTCTGGCGTGGCTTAGAGGTATGTCTTCTGCAATCACATATGACAGAAACGCTTTGAGCGAATCTGGTGGTGGTGCATCAAATTGGTTCTGCTGCTGCTGTGATATCGTGTGTTGCTTCTTGTTGTGACAATCTTGTCGTGATTGTCCGTCGACATCCCTTGCTCTACGTTCTGCATTCAAGTTTGGGAACTTGAATGGGGCATCTAGTCCACTAACTTGGCTCCCATTGGTGTCGTAAGACAAGGTTGACAAGAGGTCGTCTCTTCGCTTTCTTGTCGTCCAAGCAAACCCGCTCGAGGCAGAGATGGCTGGTGCTGGACCGGTGTAAGCCTGATGCTGATGTTGTCGTTGTTGTTGTTCTCCTTTCTGCAACCGAGTTGGTACCACGGTTGTGTTTGACTCCATGCTCAGCTCTCTACGTAGCCCGATCCCTCCTCCTCTTCGTTGGCCTACGTGTGGATGATTCGCGTTCACCTTGGTAAAGGATGGTTGGTTGTTGTTCTCCTTCACTTCCTCTTTCAGGATGAACTTGCTGAGGCTGCCTCCCCTGTGATGAGTTGCTTTTGGCCTCTTTAGTACTGATTCTCGTGGCTTCAAACTACTCTTCTTCCTGCACAAAGGAGAAAAGAAAGAATATGATTCAGTAACTAAGAGATAAGTTATTCTAGCAACCTGATAATGAAGTCAATTAAATTGGATCTAGACCCATTTTTAGTGAGTTACGTGGAGTGAAATTTGTCCCAACTCGGCGTTAAATCAATCTAAAATAGCTCTTACCTTCTTCTGTCCTCCCTATACTTGGCATCCATTTCCTTGTTAGGTGGGTATTTTGGCAAGGTTGATGGATCACATGCATATGGTTCCGAGTTAATGAACTGCATAACAAGACAACCAAAATCAATCAAACTAAATTGAACCAAACCACAGTAAGTACACACAACAACATATACGAGTAGTACCCTAGACATAAGTGCAGAGGAAGCAGAACCACGCTTCTCAGGGTCAATAGAGATCAAGCACTCCAACAAATCCACTGCTGCAGGCGGGAAATCCTTGCACCTCTCCCTCAATGAGCTCTCATATGGATGTTGCGGTCTAAACATAGTGGCATTTGGTAGATAATGATACTGCTTCCAGAACTCATCCGGAGGCGACCCACAAAGTTTGAAGATCTTATGCAATTGTTCCACCTCCGTCCTCCCCTTTAGCAATGGCTTGCCAGTCAAAAGCTCGGCAAACACACACCCCACGCTCCACAGGTCCACCGATACGTTGTAGCTTGTGGAGCCCAACAAAAGCTCCGGCGGACGATACCTATTAGAGTATGAGAAGCATGAGTCATACAAATGTAATAAATTTCTTAACCAATCCATGAATTCAACAACAGTTTTCTTAACATTCAAATCCATTTTCATCCATAACCAATACATTGTGATTTAGCGGTCCAAGGTTGATGGTGTTTTTGTAAAATTATTATTTTATTCACATTCAAAAACTAAGCTTTGATTTCTTACCAATATATATATATTTTTTGCTTTAGAATCAATCACGTTCGATAACTAAAGTTGATAGTCTGGCAATTTAATCCCTAAACTTGTAAAATTTTGCAAACTGGTCACAACATTATATCCACCTTTCATTCTGCCAATTTAGTGATTGGATAACTCCTCATGAACCCAGGAAACAATATGAACGCAACTCATAAGTCCACTAAACAAAAGGAATAAACTATGCTACTATGTATAGTAATCTGTACCATAGCGTAACAACGCGGCTGGTGAGCCTCTGCTTCCCGCCGGAAGCGGCAAGGACGTTGGCCAGGCCGAAATCGGCGAGCTTGAGGATGCCGTTGTTGTTGACGAGGATGTTGGACATCTTGATGTCTCTGTGCATCACGCCGCGGAGGTGGCAGTGCTCGACTGCGCGGAGGAGTTGCTTCATGTAGCACTTGATTTGGGGCTCGGTGAGGTTGATTTCAGGGGAAGAGGACAGGCCGGCGAGGTCGTGTTCCATGTACTCGAAGACGAGGTAGATGGAGCTGGAGAGGCGGGAGGTGATGATGCCTTCGAGCTTGATGATGTTTGGGTGGTCGAGGCGGCGAAGGATCAGGATTTCTCGGGCCATGAATCTGATGCTCTCCGGTTGGTAGTTGTCGAATCGGACCTTCTTCAGGGCCACCATTCTTCCCGTCTCCACTTCTCGTGCTTTGAATACGCTGCTGTACGTTCCTTGCCCAATCTGAAAAATTATACATTCATTGTTATCACATCATATTTGCACAATCTGTTCTTGATTCGGGAAAATTGATGCTTGATAGGAAAGGGGGGAGAAAAAGATCATACCTTTTCTAATTTCTCAAACGCATCGGCCTGAAGAGGGACCCAACCGTTAATGGCTTCACCGGCGGCGGAGCTAAGCCAAGAGGGCCAACCGGCGGCGATCTGCTCTGCTCCAACAAGCCGTCGTGACGGCTGCGGCTGAAGAACGTCGCGTTTAACGGTAATCTCCCCAATTTCCCCAATCGAAGACCTCCGCTCCAACTTCTTCCTCTTGGCCTTCTTCTCCACATTATCAACCGCAGTATCGATCAGGTAATTGATCTCAGCCTGAATCTCCCCAACTTTCTGCAGCTGCTTCTTCCGATCAACCCTCCTCTTCCCTTTCTCCCCTTCCCCTTCCCCATCCTCCCCCTCCTCTTTTGCCTCAAGAAGATCGCCGATATTCCTGATCTTCCCGCTCCTCTGTTTCTGCTCGACGACGGAAGGAACGAGGATGCCGGAAGGGTTTCTGGAGGATGCGCGGGAGCTGGGATCGATGTAGGAGAGGCGGTCGTGGAGGACATTTGTGGAGGCGGGAGGGTAATTGAGAACAGGGGATTCGCCGCCGGCGGCGGAGGAAACGGCCCTCTTGGAGTTGACGCAGCCCATTAAACCCGAATCGAGGGGCAGGGTGGGGAACCCGACCCAAGATTGGGGATTAACGGAGGGAAGACAGACTCGGGGGCTTCCTATCTAAATTCGGGGAACAGTAAATAAAATAATAATGGGAGATGGAAATTTGGGTTCTTAGGTTTGTTGAATCTTCTCCTTCTTCTTCGCTGCATCTGAACCAATGCTACTGCCATTGCCCAAAAAAAGCAGGGGAAGAGAAAAGCAGGGGAAAGCGAGGGGTTGATTTTGGTGGGAAAGAAACAATTAGACAGATGGTCAATCAGACTGGTTTTCTTTCCCTTTTCCTGCTTTTTCTTTTCCTCTTTTGGGTGGGCTTTTTTTCGGGTAGCTGTGATGTGAATTTGAGGTATGGTGGGAGTAGGGTCAGGGGTCGTCGTTAGAGTTTGCGGTTGCAGATTCTCTTCCTTTTCTGGTGAAGAAGAGAAGAAGAGATGTTGCCGTCGGTCGTCTGGTGTAGTGCTTTGCCTTGGTTTTGAAGCCATTTTAAAAGAGGACCACGGGTTAATGTTGTTTCTGTGTCATCAAACTTCTTGTTGTCCCCTATTTGTCAATCTGGTTACCTGGGTCCTATGTAATTTTACTACGTTGGGTTCACCCCGGCGGCGACTACTGTAAAGATTAGTAGCGGCAACAAGGGCTTTAGCTGCAGGTGCAGTTGTAGGAATGACCCATTGTGAGCAATGACGATCTCAACGCTTCTTTTGTGTTTCAGATTGGTGGTAGCATCTCCGGCAAAACAGAGCATGCTTTTATAGGCTAAAATGGCAGAGCCTTCTCTCGTTAGTTTCTCTCTCGATCTGTAGTTTTCTCCCTTCTTTCCTTTATTAATTTGTTTGGACACTGCCTTGGGGAAATCTGGAAAAACAGTCTTAGTTTGCCTCATTGAACCACATAGATACCAGTGTCGCAATTACTTTTCTAGCTCTATAATTTGTTCGCTCCATCTGGAACCAACTCAATAATGGAAATGTTATGAAAGAAAGTAAAGAACTCACCATTTCAATCAATCCATTAGCTGCAAATTCAATGAACCAGTTGTTTTTTCCTTTTCTGTTTTGCCAAATGCCAAGCGTATGGTAGCAAAGCATTATTGAGTGCGTCTAACTAATTGTAGGGCATATATATATAGGTCAGACTGGTGTACTCCTGGAGTATAGTGTATTCCTATTCCAAGTACTCCTAGTGAGATATCTCTATCTAGACCATGATTTTAATAGAGTTTGGGATATGATATTATACCCTAACCTTTAATGGATAAACCTCAGGCCCTGATTCTCTAAACTCAAATCCGAAGTTCAATTGAATGAAAAATTATAATTGACCGTTGAAATTGGTTGGAGCTCATCAAAGTACATCTAACGGATATATAATGTGGAGTATACTATACTCCTGTAGTATAACAGTCATTACCATCAGAATTCTAATTTGTAGGGGTTATTAGTTCTCTATTTAAAGTAGACGATTGATAGATGAAGAGATAACGAATTGAGTACAATCAGAAAGTGGTTTACACACCTACGTGTTAATTCGAAAGATTGGTTTTACTCAAAAAAGTTTAGGGGTTATATGCTCGCTATTAAAGAGAAAATCTTCTCTCCTACCAATATCTGTCTTTCTATCTTTTCTCAATTATTTTTCTTCTAATTCTATTTTTTCCTTCCTAAAGCTCATTCGTGCAAAAGCGCACATAACACACCGACTCTATTATGGGAGCAATTTTAGCAAGCATTGACATGTATCAAGAATGATTGTGCTAAACACTATAAATAAAGTGTTATCAAGGCCCTCGTGAATAGACTGCTCTGCAGGACACTATCCTCACTGAAATAAAATACAAGACAACGTAAACTAGATTCTCTTTACTGGATCGATATCCAGTACAAAACGGTGACTCATTCCACTCTCGTGCAATCAATTCGCCACTTCTAATTGGCGATGCTCTCTTAATCTGATCATCAGGTATTCTCTATCCTAAGATAAAGCAGGAATCATAGGAATTTGATTAGTATTCATTTCATACAATTCATAGGAAATGCAACAATTGGATATATATAACTTCTGAGTACCACGACATGAAATGATTATTTATCTTTATTGTTATGATTCAAAGAGACAAGCACAACATCAAAAGTATGTCTACTTAGCCAGTATATAGTCATTGGTACATACGTCATTAATATTGCTGGAACTGCATATAGCACCCTGCATATTGAGCTGATCCTGTAGTAAAGGCGTCACATGGCTTCAAATACCTGAGAATATCAGAAAGACATTTCTGGCAATCACTACCTTTAACATGACAAATGGAGTTGCCTCGAGCGGCGCCGGGACTGATGCCCGGATAGAATTTTTCATAGTAGATATCCCCTTTATCGTTGCCGTAATTAGACGAGGCCGTATTTTGCACCAGATCGTCAAGGACATAATCTACGTAACCAGCAAACGTGGTCGGATCCGGATCAGTCGAGATATCGGTGCCGCAGATGTCAGCAGCTCCAGTTGAACCTGCCAAATACCCGGCGGCAACTACTGTGACGATTAATAGTAGCACAAGGAAATGCCCCATTATGAGGCGATGAAATGATGATCTCACCGGCTTTTTCAGGTTCAAGATTGGTGGTAATAATATGTCCGGCAAACTAGAGCATGCTTTTATAGGCTAAAAATGGTAGAGAGGCTTTCTCTCGTTAGTTTCTCCCTCTCCATTGGGTAGTGTTCTTTTAGTTTCTCCCTTCTCTCCTTCCTTTATTTGTTTGGCCACTAGCTTGGGAGAATCTGGAAAACGGTCTTAGTAAATCTCCTATTTCGACGATGTTGTCCATGCAATGTACTGGCAGGTCTCTAAATGATTCCGCCGGCAACAATGGTATATGATTCATTCGGCTGATAGCATTGGATCTCAGACTTAGGGGCAATAGCCTCCGGTCCAAATGGGATATAAGTGCTTTCTAGTTTTGACTTTTTTTTTTTTTTTTGCCTCATTTCACTGAGGACTAAGGTCTAAGACGTAACTAGCTAGCACACATTGTACTATTAAACCGCATAAACGCCAGTGTCTAGAGGTGGCAAATGGATTTGTGGATTCATGGATTGGATCAAGTGGATTGGTGGATTATCCATGAATCCAGATGACATCCTCAACCAAGAACCAATATGTAAAATGTGAAAAGTTTAGGTACTAAAATGTCATAATGAAAAATTTTAGGTACCAAAATGTAATTTCAAATGATATTTTTTGTATAAAAATTAAATTTTAAGTACCAAAATGTAAAGTATAAAAAGTATAGGTACCAAACCGTACTTTGTCATTTGGATCCATAAATTGATTCATGAATCCACCAATTCAATTGGATTTAAATGGATTGAATTAGATGAATATTTTTAATGAACTAGTAGATTTTTTTTGGGTAGAAAAATGGGACGCTAAAAGGGCGTCCCTGCCTGATACCTTAAATTAAACGAGATTGGGCGATGCCCAAGGAGTCATACAAAAGCCAAAAATTAAGCCCCGAGTCAATCGGGTCAATAACATGGGAACCTAGATCAAGAGAATGGCCTTTATTGGCCAGATAATCAGCTGCTTTATTTCCTTCTCTAAGAGTGTGAGAGATGCGAATCTCCCAGTTTTGATGAAGGAGGCTCTGGAATTGCCTCCACAAGTTGTGGTAGCGACCTTCAAACGGCCCAGGTGAGTTCAAAATGCCAAGAGCAACCGTCGAATCAGTGCGCATCTCCACTCTACGGTACCCCAAGCTCCAAGCAAGCCGAAGTCCCTGGATAGCCCCAAGCAATTCCGCCCTAGTAATGGTACAGGCTCCGAGATTAGAGGCGAACGCACCAAGGCATCTGCCCCAACTGTCGCGCACCAGACCTCCTGCAGCAGCCAAAGAATCCGGATGTTTAACAGAACCATCAGAGTTGACCACCACCCAGTCCGGATTAGGAGGAACCCAAGCAATCTCTGTCGTGGTTTTCCTTTGCTGCGAGGAGTGGATGACCTTCTCATTGCTTTGTGCTTCCCGAATGGTGTTGGTCCAGCTTTGAATCCTTTGAACAAGAGTCTGCGTTTCTTGCTGCTTGTTGTTAAAAATCCATTCATTCCTTCTTTTCCAGAGATACCACGCTGCAACTCCAAAGAGCAGCCCCGTCTTTGAGTCTTTGAGATTCCTAGCCAACCAATCTGTCAAATTGAAACCGATAGTTAGAGTAGAATCCGTTATCCCCAAAGCTTGCCATACCTGAGCAGCAGCCACACAATGGCGCAGGACGTGTTCGGTTGACTCGGGTGCCTCCTTGCACAGCTCACAGGTGTCTTGGGCACAAATTTTCCGCCTTTTCCTTTCACAATTCGTCATCAAGCGGTTATGAAAAGCTAGCCAGAGGAAATGCCGAATTCTGTTTGGGCCGTCCCATTTCCAGATAGTCTTCCAGGTAGGTGCAGCAATGGGCGGTGTTTCCCTCTCGTCTCCCTTGCCGAGCCAATCCGCCGCGACAGTGTACGCCGATCCCAACCGGAACTTCCCATCCTGCTCCATTCCCCACGTCGTCCGATCCTCCCCCGATTCCTGGTTTGGTGCGTCTAGCCCTGCAATGAGAAGATTCATGGAGTCAGGAAGGTACGATTCGAAACGCGGCCAGTTCCACTCACCTTGGCTAGTAGCCATGTCGGCAACAGAGGCATTCCGATCCACCACCCCTGCTTGATCGCCTAAATAATCCTTGAGGTAGACTCCTTCGGCAACCCAAGAGTCCTGCCAGAAGTTAACACTCTCCCCATTCCTAATGTCCCACACTGTTCCTTGTTTCACAAGAGGGAGGGCTTCCAAGATCCCTTTCCAAAGTCTGGAGACCCGCTGATGACGCATCGAGACGCTGCCATTACCATTTGCCTTGACATATTTATCTTGCAAGACCCGGACCCACAGAGGTTTTTCATCATTGAGAAAGATCCAGCCTAGCTTCATCAAATAGGCCAAATTAAGTGCACGAGCCGATCGAAGACCTAGGCCTCCTTCTTCTTTTGGCTTGCAGATGTTCTCCCAGGAAACCAGGTGAGTTTTAGAGTGACCTTCTTCAGCTCCCCAGACAAACCGCCTGATTTTTCTATCAATTGCCTCGCAAATATGACATGGGAGGACAGCTGTTTGCATCACGTAGTTTGGCAGGGCATTCAGCACCGAGAGAGCGAGGGTGACACGACCTGCCAATGAGAGACTACGAGTCTTCCATCCCGCTAAGCGCTTGTCCAATTTCTCCAGAACATACTTGTACGTGTCTTTGGTGACACGACCATGGATAACCGAAACTCCTAGGTATCTGCCCAAGTTCTCAGTCTGCTTCATGCCCAGCAATCTGCTAATTCTTCTCTTTTTCTGTTTCCTGGTGTTCCTCGAGAAGAAGATGCACGACTTGTCCTTACTAACTTCTTCCCCAGAAGCTGCGCAGAATCTTTCAAGACAATTGAGGATAGCCATCCCCTGTTTAACATCAGCTTCAGCAAAGAGCACTAAGTCATCTGCAAAAAAGAGATGCATTAGTGCAGGGCCATTCTTAGATAAATGCAGAGGAGTCCATTCTCCTTTACCCACAACTTCCTTAATACAGTGATTCAAACGTTCAATGCACAAAGTGAAAAGATAAGGAGATAGGGGACAGCCTTGTCTTAATCCTCGAGATGGCTTGAATGAGTCAGTGCAGCTTCCATTCCAGAGGACCTGAAAACTAGAAGTAGTGATACAAGCCATGATCAGATTGACGAAGTCCGTAGGGAGACCAGCCGCCACCAGGGTAGAGCGCAAAAACTCCCAATTGACTCATTCATAAGCCTTAGCTAGGTCGATCTTCAGAATCATGCTCCCACGAGTTCCCTTCAGCTGGCCAAGTGAGTGGACTACCTCCTGAAGGATAATGATGTTGTCGGTGATGTGTCTATTGGGGATGAAGCTAGTCTGGTTCTCATCAATCAGCTTAGGTAGGATATTCCTAAGCCGGTCCGCCAGACATTTAGCAAGCACCTTGTAGCTCACATTACAGAGACCAATAGGACGGAACTGGCCCATGGATGAAGGAGAGTCAACCTTGGGCAGCAAAGAAAGCAGGGTCATATTATAGCTGGCAATACGGTCTGGTTGCTGAAAACACTGGACTAAATGCCGATGAAAGTCCTTTCCTATAGAATCCCAGCACTTCTGATAAAACACTGCATGAAAACCATCCTTGCCCGGAGCCTTTAGGCCGCCCATTGCCTTGATGATCCTGCGGGTTTCATCTTCCGTGGGAATTGCAGCCAAACCACGCAAAGCACTATCCTCAATCGCAGGAAACATGGCAACCAAAAGAGGTCTTAGACCTCCATCCTCAGTAAAGAGGGTAATATAAAAGTCCCTAGCCATGTCTTCCAGGATCTGGGGATCTTCCACCCAAGTACCATCAGCAGCTTTCAACTTTGTGATTCTATTCCGATGACGTCTATTAAGGGCAGCAGTATGGAAGAAGGAAGTGTTTTTATCCCCAAAGTTGATCCAGCCCGATCTAGCTTTCTGCATCCAGAGCAGTTCCTCCTGCCACAAAGTTTGCTCCAATTTATCACGGAGGCTGGCTTCTAGCTGGAGGCTGTCAGGACCAGGTGTAGAATCGTTTCTGAGTTTAGCAGTAGCAAGACGTTTGGTAAGGGCTGCCTTTCTCTTGAATATGTTGCCGAAGACCTCCCTATTCCAGATTAAGAGAGTATGTTGAAGACCATGGAGGGAGTCAAGAAAATCAGCTCCAGGATTCCAGGACTTCTCTAGAGTGGGCTGGAAATCCTTGTGGGAGAGCCACGGGGCTAGGAATCTGAAGGGCCTCTTCTGCTTTTTATGATTTTGGTCATTGGAGGAGCAGATTAGCAGAGGGCGGTGATCTGAACGAAGCCAGGGCAGGTGAGTAGTGATCGTCTCTGGGAAGCTGCTTATCCATTCGGGATTGCAAAGGGCGCGATCCAGTCTAGAGAAGAGATTTCCCCTGACCCAAGTGAACCTTGGCCCCCTGAACTCTACATCTAACAGACCACAATCGTCAATACATCTGTTGAAACTTGCTGAGCTTGCCGGGTTATAGGCTGCCCCTCCTGATCTCTCCGAAGGACCTCTGACAGAGTTGAAATCCCCAGCTAAAAGCCAAGGCTCGGTAATATTCTGCTCCAGTCTTCTAAGAGTGTCCCATAAAGGCTGACGATCATGGTCGTTAGGTTTGGCGTATATTGCCGTGAGGATCACAGCTCGGTTATCCTGCACATTCACACAACGAAAATGCAACATCTGAGAACTACGCTCCAGAACAGAAATGGAAAAGACAGAGGAATTCCATAAAACCCAGATACCCCCTGAGAAACCCACTGCCTCAACCAATTCATGCTTATCAAAACCCATTTTACTAATAACATACAAAGCATCCTTGCCGCTGATACGCGGCTCAACAATGAATATCAAATTAGGACGATGGGTAAACACATAATCTTTAAAGATCGCAAGAAATTTGGGGTTTTTAGCCCCACGACAGTTCCAAGTAAACAACTTAATCATGGAGAAAAAGACAGGGAAGGGAGAAGAAGCGCATCGGCGCTAAGTAATGGTGGCCGATTGGCCCCCAGGAGCTTCGACGGCAGGCGGACAGGCAGTGGCGGGTTCTTCTGCCATGGTCAAGTCGTTGACTTTGCCGATGTTGGAATTCAGCGCTTCATCCGTCATCCTCTTCGAGCTATTCAAGAACTCCGAAATTGCTTGCGGGGTGATGGGGAAGTTGGGATTCTTGGACAGCTCTTGCAACATCTTTCTCGCCGAAGGGGAAGTTTGGGCCAGAGGCTTTTTAGAGGATTCCTTCATGATTTTTGGCTTGACTTCCCTCACCGAATTTTGCTGAGGTTTGAGTTTCTGGGGACGGTGGCGAATCGAGACCAATTGCCGATTGGGGTCGACGTTTTCCTTCACCTGTATCTGAGGCGGTAGTGAACTCGGGGGAGACGAGGAACTGGGGGCTGCACCAACAGGCCCCTTCGTTTCCTTTTGGTCTGTTAATGAGACTATTGGGCTCAGCCCAGCTTGTTTATCTGCCATTATAACTTCACCTTGGGCTTCTGGCCTTTCCTCAGTCTCCTTTGAAAAAACGGGCCGCCATTCCTTAGTCACCGATCCATTTTTCTCTGGCAAGGATCCGTTGCTGACCCCCGCCACTTTCCCTTTTAAACTCGGGTTGCTGCCTTTCTTGTCATCCGCCTTGGACGTCGCCTTTCCTTTCCCCTCCTTTCCTAAAATGATTCTGGTCGGATCGCCTTTCCTTGCTGATGCGGTTTCTGACTGGCTTTCCCCGACAACCCCCCGCGACCCGCGTCTCCGCCCTGATTGTTGACCGTATTCTGCGTAACTTTCCTATTTTGCTTTTTACTCTTTCGTGTCACCTGCATCCACGGCCCGTAACCGGCGGGAGACTCCGACGACGGTGGCGAATTTTCGACGAGACGCTCGGGACTCGCAGCCGGCGAAGTAGCAGTGGCCTCAACAGATCTTTTGATCGGGCAAGAGTCCTCAGTATGACCAATTTTGCCACACTCAAAACATATTTCTGGTAGATTTTCATAAAGGACCGGTTGCCAAAATCCGTCCAGGCGAATTCGGGTCGCCAGCGGCTTCGTCATATCAAGCTCCACTGCTATTCGAGCAAATTTCCCACGTTCCAAGTTTTCCGTGTGATAATCCAGCTTCACTGTTCTGCCAATAAGATTACCCAAGGCAAACAGAACCTCCCGATGATAGAAGTGAACCGGAAGCTCCGGCAGCTGGATCCACGCTACGACCGATTTGTGGGGTTTGTCAGCCGTTCTGAAGGACGGCGACCATTGGTGGACAATAAGATAGTGATCAAGAATAGTCCATGGTCCCCCGGTGAGAGCGTGAAGGAAATCTTGGTCGTTGTGGAAGGTGACCAGGAAGGTTCTGTCGTTCAGATCCAGGATATCCAGTCTTCCAGTTGGGCGCCATTTCCATCGGAGTTGTGAGCACAGATATGCGTAGGAGATCGAACGCCCGAGCAGTCTGACCACCAGGGTTTTCTTCCATGGGGAGCAGAGACGATCCTTGAACTTATCCGAGACTTTGAGCTCCGGCTCACCGCCAAATAATCCCGGTTCTAGATCATGTTCGCCGACGAACGTCCATTGGTTTACTTTGGATTGTGAGGCCTGAATCGGGCCTGCAAGAGCCATTTTGAAATTGAGAGGAGGAAAACTCGCCGGATCGGGAATCGAAAGTTGCTGTGGAGGTTGCGAGGAGGTGCCCGGATCCGGAGGACGGCCAGCTTGTGGCGGAACCATCGCCGGAGGAGAAGAGTTTTCCGGAGTGGTACAGAGCATTTCAGAGAGAAGAATCAGTGCATTCAATTTGTGCATTAATGAATTAGTAGATTAGATTGCTAGATTGGATTGAGAATTATCACCTCTACCAGTGTCGCAATTACTTTTATTGCTCTATAATTTGTTCGCTCCATCTGGACCCAATTCAATAATACCAACGTTTTGAAAATAATCACCATTCCAATCGATCCAGCACCATCTGGACCCAATTCACAGGGCCTGATTATAAAAAAAAAAAAAAAAAAAAAAAAAAAAAAAAAAAAGTAGCTGCAAATTCAATGAACCAGTTGTCTTTCCTTTTCGGTTTTGCCAAGCGTATTGTCATGTTCTATACATTGATCATACAGCGTACATATTTGCAGGGAACAATACATAAAATGAAAAGCAATATAATAAGCACACCTTTTACATAGAGGGAAGTGGAAACCAAAAAAGAGTATAAGCATAGCAAAGAGTACAAAATGTTTGACTAAGTTTTGAAATAATCCATGAAGTTCTTCACATGCGTGTTCTTTCTGCACTGTGTATTGGGCACAAGTCTCGTTTCGCCTTAAACGGCAACTTCCTCTTCTTTGAGCCTAAGAAGCACTGGTCTTTGATCCTCGTTATTGTTGTTCACAAAATTCACACCTTCAACGGGTGCAGCCTGCTGCTGGGGTTGAGAAACCGCCGTGCTTTGAAGCCTCGATTGTGCAGCTGTATTAGCGCCACTGTTTCTCCCTGCAGGGACGTCGTGATTGTGCTTCCCCTCGTACGTAGTTATAACGGCCTTGGGGTCGGCTGCAGCTCTCTCCACGTGCTTACGGACATTGCATCCTGCGCTCGTGCATTTGTAGTAGCTCCTGTTTCACAAACAATTCATCTCTTGCGTTAGCATCTGACTGCGAATTTTCTTCAGTAGCTTAACAAACAAGGACCCGGAACTGAAAATAATGAAAACCTTAACCAGCTTTAAGCATTCCCATGTCAACATAAGACTGAATTCGCAAGTCACTAGTAGGAACACACAGGATAGCTACATGTCCCATATATGAAGCATGATGATAAGAAAAATATGGATAAAGAGCAATAAAATACCTAGGATGAGGGTTCCCTTTCACAACTTTCTGGCCATACTTGCGCCACCTGAAGCCATCATCTAAAAGATCAACTTCACTTCTAGTCTGAACAATGATTTTTGCCTCTGTCACTGTTTTGTGAGATAAAGCTACCTCGGATGTTCCCACGTCCATTTGCCTGAGTAGTTTCACCATGAGAAACTTCTTAAAAATGCATGAAAAAGTAGCCATATGATAGGAGTAAGCTATGCAGAAATCTTTAAGCAGCAATTGGATGAGGGAATTCATTGATCAATTTGGCTTTGAATTCCATCAGCTGAAGGAAATCGGAAATTCAATTGCATGTCCTATTACAACTTGATGGAATTGGACAATCTCTCCTCCGGAATCTCTCAATGGAAGGTAAGATTTGCCAATTCCATCAATTTACTAATTTTTTACCCATGTTTTACAACTGCTTCTCTCAAGTAGTCCATCCAAACAACATATTCAAAATATATCATGGATTAAATTGCATCCGTTTAAAATCCAAATATTTCGTCATTCATCCCCCATTTCAAGATTCCAACTTCCAAAGGACCTCTTAGCCTAACCAGTTACCTTCTCTTTGGATTAGGTGCATCATCAGCCCCATCTTGTTCAGTTGCTATTGGATTGCCAGCAGCTTCCCCACGGCCACTAGGTTCAGGTTGCTCTGCAAAGTTCATTTTACTGGATTCATTATCCCTACCATCCCCAGAATAAGGCGGTGCTCTTTGATCAAGTTTATTAGTATCACCAAGCTGAGCTTGTGTAACAGGTTCACTTTTAGCCTGTGAACTGACAGTCACATTTTGAACACTGTTGTCGCCCCTGGCACGCTTATTCGTTTGAGGAAGCTCATGGTTATGTTGGCCTTTATAGATGATTTCAGTTATCTGGCCTTCTCTGGAACGCTCTACTTTCTTCTTGACAGGGCAGCTCGGATGTGTGCATTTGTAGTAGCTCCTTGGAAATTCACTGCCCTTAATTGGCTTGTGCCCATATTTTCTCCAGTTATACCCATCATCACCAGGTTTATCAGCAGCAGCAGCAGCAGGAGGAGGTGGCTGATATTTCCTATCCGAATGAGAAACCTCAGAAGGTGGCTCCACCACAGTAGTTTGAGGGTTAGAAGTTGTGGGTGGCATCTGCCACTGTGAATCCTCAGCAGCAGTATAAGATGGTTGGATTGGCGCTACTTCCAATGGAGCGGTCCCTGAATAAGGTTGATATTGGGCTTGCATGTGCATATGCTGAGATTGAGCAGCCAGTGCAGCTTGTGCTGTCACCTGTGCCAAAGCTTGTTGGTGTGACATCCCAAAGGGACTCTGCATACACATAGGGGAACATAAATAAACACCTAGAGACGATTTTTCTTGTCCGTGAATGTTCTACGTATCACATTCTGAGAAAGTTCAAGATAGTAAATGATACAGTCAAGCCCTAATTTCACATGTAGCAAACATTGTTTCTGTTCTCGTATGTTTTCAAGTCTGCATATTCCAAGTACAAACATTAACCACTTGAAATCAACATAATGAAATATCTCATCCATCTATTCCCAGTGATACATGATGGACTCAAGATATTTCATATTAAGACAAATTGTGCAAGCAAATTATAGTCATGTATGCATCAGCACTTTCTTAGTTAATGTGCCACCTATAACACCTCAACTCGAAACACGAAATCCAAACAAATTGGGAAAAAATGCAGCACAAAGGAGCAGAATGAATAGTTACTTATGATTAACCAGAAAGAGCAGACATTTCGCAAGTTGTGGAGGCACCAAATATCTATCTACCTACAGCCAGGGGACAACTCCAGTTCCAATTGCAGTCTAAGTTGGTGGCCGGATTCTTCAGTTATGAAGCAGAAAGGTTCAAGCTTTGGATAAACTCGCCCTGTTTCAAGCATTATCTCAACAATCTAAACCTAACAAGAGGAACAGCTAACCAATCATCCCAGTTACCTACAAAACCAGCCAAAGAAGAATAGCATAAAAATTACCTGAGGGAAGAACCCAGGCGAATTAAGCAACCCAGAAGGGCTCAACCCAGGAGGAACCGTAAATAGAGGAGATCGAGGAACCACTAAATTCATAGGCCTGCTCTGCTTGAACCCAAACCCACCACTTCCAGCCGCAGCAGCAGCAGCATCTTGTGTAGAAGACAAGCCGCCGCCGGCGGCTGCGGAAGGAGGGTTTTGGATAGAAAAGTCAGGGTAAAAGGGAGGCCTAGCAAGCGGAGAAGCCATAGCTCCAGCGAGAAGCTGGGAGAAGGACCGGCAATCTTCTCCACCGCCCTGGTAACTGTCGTTGAAGAAACTTGAGACCAAAGTCATGGGCCCCGGGCTGAGCCCGCCGGAGAAGAAAGTATCCATCGACGGCCTAGGAGGAAGGGTGATGGTTGTAGGCCGAGGCAAAGCCGTCGTTGATGCGGAAGAGTCTCGTTTCTCTGCCATCAAACTCCGCCAGATTAGAGCTATAATAAAACCCACCAACTGATTTACTCTCTGCTCCGATCTCAAGTCGTTTGCTTAGAGTTAGAGTTGTTCCGACAGCTTAATCGTGGGTGCTTTTCTCTCAGGAATGGAGATTCAGAGGAGGGAAAAGGGAAGCTTTTTCCTTGCCGGGTGTTGACTATTCAATCTGCAACTCGCAAGTTTTTTTTTTTTTTTTGGTATTTATATAATTAATTAATTAATATCTCGCTGTTGAAGAAGAAGAGAAGTCGGGATTGTTACTTATATTTTTGTATTTTAGGCGGTTTCTTGTTTTGTTTCTTCTTCGCTAATTGATTACGAAGTAAATATGGGCATGGAAATTGACGTTTATTAGGTTAAAACAATATTTATTTCAAAAACCACCACCGTAAGGTTGGACTTGTGCTTGTCTGAAATTTTTTTTTTTTTTATAAATCGCATGTCTGAAATATTGATAGGTTAGTCGTTTGCTTTCACGGCATAATAAGGGAGGACAATGATCCTTTCATTACTTGTCAAGAGCCAAGATGAATTTGTTGATGATGTCAAGATCATCTGGAAATTGGGAGATGTTCGTTAAATCGGAGTCACATAATTCACCTTTTTTATAACTAATACCGGTTAAATCATTAATATGCGAGTTTTTCGTTAAATCGGTTCATGTTCAGATTTGGTTCTAAGAATATTGATTCTGAAGATACCAAGTTTGAAATTCTCAAATTAATTGGTGAATAAAGGCCGGATATTATTATTTAATCGCTGCGTTTATAAAAACAAAAATGGGCAAAAATAAGATTGCTGAATAGTTTTGGTTAATTATTTATTTGTCAGCCGTATTTGTGGGGAGCAGAAATTGATGATAATTGATGTGGTAGGTGTATTTGTCTGTAGCCATCAATGAAAAAAAGTAAAACCTTCAACTTGTCATAAGATAATATATAAAATAAAATATCCCACCCAATCCAATAGTTTCCCATGAGCCACGTCTACTATAAAATTAAAATATCATCTTCCATATGCTCTCACTGTCACATGTATGTAGGGCTAGAAATGTATTGTTCTCGCTTATTGTTTTTGCGCTAGATTGATGGGATGTTGGAATAGATGGGATTAAAGGAACAATCTTTTGCTTAACAAATTTTTTAACTTACAAATTTGTCTCTCTGCAGCTAATTCTCTCCGGGAACAAAATTCTACTATCTGAGAAGAGCTAATTCTTGTGAACACTGGTGTTGCAAAACACAAGATATTCCAAAGGGACATCCACTGTCAAGCTTCTTAACATGCCAACACAAAACACACCCAGAATCAAAGACCTAAGACTTTCGTTTCGGAAAAGTACGTAGATGATACTGCCAAACCTTCGACGTCATACGTTCTAACCAGTCTCTGTCTCTTCCCAGGAGATTCAAGCCAACAGAACTCCAGATGAAACGACTTGGAGTCTGCCACACTCTTGGCTATATCGCAAGGGCATCCCATGTACATCCCTCCGGGCAACAGAGTTATCTGGTACCCTCCATCGTATATGATCAGATTGTCCACCAGGGTACCGCTCCAATGCACTTTGGTCGCAACGTTACTTGCTCTAGAACTCGATGTCATATCCTAATGACAATTTTCAGATAGGTATGTAAGATACTTAAAAACTTGAACTACCGGCCTGCTCACAACAGCTGGTGAGCAAAGCAAATGAAGCAGTCTAAAATATCCATAACGATCAGACAATCTAAATTCTCATGGCATGATGCAAACCCCTGGATGAGAAGGAATCCTGGAAAAGAGGATATGTGCTTTAAAGTAATGGTCGTACCTGGATGAGCTGACCCTTATCGTTCAGCTCAAGTGAAGAAACAGAATCAGCTTCAGTAAGTGTTGATCCATAAACACCACTTCGCTTCGTCATTGAATGACCTTCCCACCTACCAAGAAACGGTTCAACCCTACCAGCGCTCTCCTGGAATCAATGTAACCAAACCCTACTGTCAGAAAAAGAAAACCAAGGGCATATATCCATAGATCCAGTCAGAGGATTTCACAGTTGAGTGATTTTAACTTACACCAAGACTGGCAAGTGAAGGAGGAGGATGATTCCCATCCCCTCTATCTTCCAGGAACACAAGAAGCATATCTAGGTCACCTCCGGGGTTCATAACGTGAAAGGCTCTTGCCCGCCTACTATCTATGTCTTGCGAATATAAACAATTCTCGCATACTATAGAAGGCCTTCGTGAAGGAAGCTTAAGATTCCTGCAGATAGAAAAACAGTTGTCTCTTAGATAAAGCAATGTGCTTTATTTTGTTTGTCATGGCAAGTAAAGCAAGAGATAAGTGAAAGCAAGATCTTTTCACCTGGGAGACTCTTCTCCTGTGTCATTTTCACCCAACACACCTTGCCTCAAAACAGTCTCCAGCATGCCAGCGGTCTGGTACCTTAAGGCGAAAGCCCTTGTGTCGGGGAAAAAGCCAATCTGCAGACTAATCATTATGGACATTCAGTAGGAAACACCAATAGTATAGACTACAATATAAGATGTTTCAAGCACATGGTTATCAGATCATTAATTCAGTAGCATTTTGCTGTGAAGAACTAATATGAACTCACCTGCTGATATCTGTCAACAGTGAACATATTGGTCTCTTTGATCTTATATTCTGCCCATTCTGGGTCTTCGTCAGGGTCTGAGACTGACAATGGAGGTTGTTTTATGTATAGCCTGATTTAAATTATGACCAAAGAAGTAATTAGATTATATTTGCAGTTGCAGAAAGAACTAGGTGAATGAACCACAAGAAGCAATCAAGGAGCAAACAGGTGAGATTAAAATCTGCTTAGTTGTTTAGTTCACGTTGCAAACAAACGCTTGCACACTTGAGATTAGCCTCATAGACCCCGTCAGTTAGAGGCAAGGTTCATAATTGAAACTCAAGACATAATATCAAAAAGATGTTAAACAGCAACTTATGAGCGAATGTCTCAACCAAATTCCAGTGTCTTCACCTCAAACTAGATTTCTCCCAAGGACTACTTTTCACTTTTCAGGCAGCAAATCATATCTGAATGATCAATTTTATAGAATGCAATGGAACTGTTAGACACAAAGAGCGGAAACTAGAAGCACAATTCTACCCAAATTGTTGCCTCAATCACGTCAACGAACAAAGCAGAGCAAGCAAGTTCGAGTTTCCGTCTATACATACGTTTGAATGAGGCTCATCAAATCATCTTCTCCGTAGGTACTTGCAGAGAGCCGCGTACTCACATTTTGCATCAACTTCCCATGAGCATTGAATTGCTGTGAGGAAGGAAAACCCAAAGAAACGAACAGCCAACAAAAAAAAAACCCCTCTAATCAGAGCAAGCAACAAAGAAGAAGGAATTGAAAGCTCGTCCAGAATTCTCACGTAGAAGGAGCCGTGCCATTTGCCAACGCTGAGGTCAAAGAACCGGTGGAGAGTTTCGACGGTTATGGGCTCCGTGGCATTGGGCCCATCTCCGAGAGCGGCGGATATACAGGAGGAGGATGGTGTGTTTGAACGATGGGGACGCGGGCGCCATGAATGGGAGTTTGGAAGTGGGTTCCGAGCAGAGAGCTTCGGGGATTGAGTTAATGGAAGGAAGGAGAGAGCAGAAGAAGAAGCCATGAGTGGAGGGTGGTTTTCCTTTGTTCCTTCCAATGGGTGTATTCTTATCGTCAATGTGGGGTTTGGAATCAGATTTTTTTTTTTTTTGATAATGGTGAAGCTTGCATTAAAGTAAGAAAGGGTCTGGGTACAAAGAAAAAAACGAGCAAGAGAAGGGGTCTCACAAGGCGTGAGTCGCCCAACTAAAGCCAGGGAAAAGAAACAAAAATCGAACTAGGAACAAGAAGCTGCAGGGCAGCAGATCGGCACCAAAACACAGCAGAACAGATTGGAAAAACAAAGGAGCATCAGCCCACATCCTCAACAGCCCACCGAACAGCCGAGAGCGATCACTCCAGCGAAATCCACAGCATCCAGCAGCTACCTCAATAGCTGTCAATCTTGCCAAAGGCCGCCAACCACTCCGCCACTGCACGAGAGCTCCTCTGCTGAATGTACGCCTCGCTGTGGTACGAGTCCCTGAAAATTCTCCTATTTCTTTCCAACCAAACATTCCAGCAAACAGCATGAAGAACGCAATACACAAACCACCTATCAGGGCTGTCTGGTTCGCTTATCTCCCACCTGCGGATGGTTGAAACAATGTCACCAGAAGGGGGGACGATAAGTCTGCACATAAGCTTGGTGCGAGCCCACACTTGCTTGGCAAAATCACAATCAACAAAGATGTGGTCAGCAGTCTCTTCGCGGCGCGCACACAGAGCACATCTACTTGCCAGCGACCAGCCTCTGCTTTTGAGGGCGTCCATCGTAAGGATCTTCCTGTGAGCGACCGTCCACATGAAGCAGCACACCTTAGGAGGAACAATCTTCCTCCAAACCGACTCAACCGGGAACTGCGGCACACCTGGAAACAGATTCCTCGACAGTGACCTGTACATGGAGCGAACAGAGAAAGAAGACTCTGGGGACGGCGACCAGACGAGTCTGCTCGGCCCACAAGTCACTCGAGATGCATCAACAGAATTAAGAAGCTCAAACAAAGCGACCCTTTCCCTCTCAGCCCCCCCTCTCAAATTAATAGAAAGATTGATATCCCATTGGACTCTCTCACCTGAAAAGGAAACAATGTCGGAGACCCAGGCATTAGGACTTGTTGCGGCAGCAGCGACCCGTGGGAAAGTGTCAGCAAGAACGACTTCGGGAATCCAGCAATCATGCCAAAAGGAAACTCCGGCTCCTCCCCCCGGGTCAATGTATGCTCTCTTCCACCATGACCGATACTCACGAGAGATACTTGCCCACACAGAACCAGCAAAACCACTTGTACTTCTGCTACTTTGCCATTCTGATTTTGCAGCCGGAAACTTGGTCGCAATAAGCTTCCTCCACCAACTATTCCTTTCGACAGCAAACCTCCATAGCCACTTGGAAAGCAAAGCTTTATTGAAACAGGACAGGTCCTTAATTCCCAGCCCGCCATCCTCTTTCTCAGCCTTACAAAGATTCCAACTGATAAGGGGGATTCGCTGAGTCTCACTAGAACCACTCCAGATAAACCGCCGTTGGATTTTCTCTATTCTATTGATTACTGTTGCTGGGGCCTTAAGGAGAGAAAAGTAAAACACAG